TTGACCGTGTAAATTGGACCAAATTAATGCAGATCCTAAAGGAAACAGGTATCNAGTGGCTAAGGAAGAAACTGTGCTACAGGGCATGATTGATAGACTAATTGAAATTGGAAGGTGCTATGGCATGGAAACGAATGTGGAGAAAACAAAAGTAATGAAAATTTCGAGACAACCAACCACAGTCACAATAAAGATAGACCAAAAACAACTGGAGAATGTGAAATGTTTTAAATATTTGGGTAGCTTGTTAACAGATGATGGAAGGTGCACGTGCGAAATTAAATCTAGGATTGCCATGGCATAAGCTACATTTAGCAAGAAGAAGAATCTTTTTACCAGCAAATTGGACTTAAATTTAAGATAGAAACTAGTGAAATGCTACGTTTGGAGCATCGCTTTGTATGGGGCTGAAACGTGGACACTTAGGGCAGCAGATCAGAAACACCTGGAAAGCTTTGAAATGTATTGTTGGAGAAGGATGGAGAAGATCAGTTGGACTGATTATGTGAGAAATGAAGAAGTGTTATTTAGAGTCAGTGAGCAGAGGAATATCCTACATGAAATAAGAAAACAGAAGGCTAATTGGATTGGTCATATCTTATGCGTTAACTGCCTTCTAAAAGAAGCTATTGACGGAAAGATAGAGGGGTGGACAGAAGTGACCAGAAGATGAGGAAGAAGACGTAAGAAGATGCTGGATGACCTTGGGGACAGAAGAGGATACTGTCATTTGAAGGAGAAAGCTCTAGATCACATTAAGTGGAGGAATTGTTTTGGAAGAGACTGAGGACCTGTCGTCTTGACAGATTACTGATGATGATGATTGAATGTGAGGCAGGGTTGTGTTTAAATGGATGTTTCAAGAAATTCAATACAAAACTCAACTTCTAATCCAGTTGCTTCCATCGCTCAGATACAGGGTGCTCATATTATAAGGGAAGATTATAAAACCATCTTTTAAGATGATTCCAGTGAAAAATTCATAATTATATCTCATATAGTTCAAAAGTTATGATACATAATGTAGTTTAGAGCAAAATTTAAATGGGCAATTAAAAAATACTACCGCAGGAGGCCTCACAGCGATATTTAAATGCTCGCACTGAAGGGTTAAGGAGCAAGCAGTTTGGCATGTAAACCCATTGCTAAGCAATGACTGCTAAACAAGCAATATACAACAGCCATTGCAAAGTAATGGCTTTTCAATCAAGCACGTTTCCACGGCAGTGAGAGATCACAACAATAATGTAAGAGATGTTTACCACGCGGTCCTTACTGAGGTGTTATAACCATGGCCAGTTGCAGTTAACCCCACCAATTTTATCTCCACCTTATCATGGTGGTGGGGTTTGAGAGCTCCTGAGACCCTGAGAGCTATGCCGGCAGTAGCGTAGCTACTGGTAGGGCCACACAAGCTGGACAGGTCAAGGGGTAGGAGCCAGAGAGAGAGGGATACCCTGGTCCTCCAGGTTGGGGGTTGGGCGTGAGGCTAACGACCTCACAGTGTAAAAACTAAATTGTTCAGAAATCCAAGGAAAGAGTAGCCGGACGGACCTATTCAAGATGACCTGGAAAATGTTTAAAGGATTTGAGAATTTTATCTTGGAATGTATTATCTCTTTACAGAGCTGGAGCACTAAGAATGCTACTTGAACAACTAGATAGCTATAAACTAGATATCACTGCTATACAAGAACTGAGGTGGTTGGGTAAAGGAGTCATGGAAAAGAAGGATCATGTTGTATTCTGTAGTTGTCAGAAGAAAAGTCATGTGTTTGGAACAGGTTTTATTGTTAATAAAAAAAGGAAGCATCTTATTTTAGACTTCCAGGCAAAATCTCACAGAACATGTAGGCTACGAATTAGGGGAAAGTTTTTTAACTATGGCCTTATTTGTGCACATGCCCCAACTGAAGATAAAAGTGATGAGGAGAAAGACTCCTTTTATGATGAATTGGATGAAATATATGGCGAATGTCCAAAAAGAGATTGTAAAATAATCATAGGGGACGTGA